AAGAAAAGGCAATCTGCCTTGTGAGATACGAATGAAGGTCCCCCGGATGCCTTCGCGGACTGTGAACCATGTCTCATCAAGGTGCACAACGTCCCACATGCCGTCGAACTCGTGGGTGTATGCTGAGAGCGGTTTTTCAGGAAAACCGGCTTCGCCGGCGCCGGCAAGGCCGTCGGTATCCGCAAGCGCTGCAAAATGCGATGCGCTCACGCATGTTGTCATCGGTCAGGTAAGATTTGAGACGGGATGATCGGCGCTCAATCGTGCCGTCGCGGAGCTTGCGGTGGATTGTGCCTATGGAGAGACCGGTTGCTACAGAAATGTCTCGAATCGTGGATCGCTGGTCTTCAAGGACGCCGCTGACGCGGTCCGTGACATGTTTGGTGGTGTAGGACAACTTGGTTCCGACGCGACCCCACTTCGATGACGGCATGCGGGCGTTGTGCCGGAACGCTTTCCAGAGTTTGGACACGGTGGTTCGGTGCAGGTGCGTCTCGGTTGCAGTTGATTTGATGGCACCGCTCGCTAGCTTGGCCATCTCGGCGAGTCGTAGGAGGCGGGTGATGACCTCGATTTTGGTCTAATACGAGAGCTCGCGTCTGACGCGCAGAAAATCCATGGTAGTGAGGCTCGCGAGACTCGAAATTTTGGAATGAAAACCAATGTTTTCATTTTATTTTTTTCAAGGCCGATGGCGAAATCAAATTAGGGCGCGAAAACTTCGTTTCCGTCTTGTCCAGTCAATGCCGACCCCTCTCGTTTTTGATTGTCTTTCAAACGTGATATGGCACATTGATTTTGGACTTAAAAAGAATTTTGGGGGTCACTGAGATGAGAAATGTCGCCAGTAATCTGGAACAGAGGAAGTAGTTAACGGGGGGGGGTCTTGACTCAAAATAGGCCAAAGTCTCAACGTAACTAAGCTCCTAAACCAGTTCTAAACTTCCTGGTTAAAACGTATTATATATTTCTTTTCATTGTAGATCAATCTATATACTTACTGTTAGATAGCATCAGATCTCATACAATTGATGAGCTCTCCTAAAAATTCCTTGAAACCATCAAATACTCCCTCCGTTCCAAGATAAGTGCGCGAATCAGAGTTTTGATGTATGCATCCTGAATAAAAACACAATACTCGAATACTCCTTTTTGAAGTAATCCAAATATTGCGTTCTCCACAAGTATAATGTTTGATATCGTATTGAAACCCATTTGCATAGCAAGTACCATATCGGACCCTTCTTGACCGTAGCATTGATCAGGGCCTCTGAATTTCATCGGATCCAGCACGAATCAAGAAGCTTGACGTGTATTGGTTGGTGAGATTGGACCATGGCAGTTGTGTGCCATACTCTCTTCTTAGGACATCAACATTCAATTTTGAAGCTGTAAATTACATGTGTCAGTGCCTTTTCACTTTTTCCCATCCAACAGGTTTTGCAACTTACTAGACTATGGAAAAAATAATTGGTTCGCAAAAAGTTCGATGAATTTAAAGTGTCACTTTGCAAACAGCAAACAAACAATGTCAAATGTCCTGGCCGGACTCAGTTGGAAGATATGATGCTAATAACCCTCATTGTTGAGCGAGATGGCCGACAGCGATGGGTTGTGCGCTCTATCGTTTCCCAATATTGTCGTTGCGCTGTCTGCCCACGCGTTCATGAGGGTCTCTCGGGTGCGGCCCGCTGTTTCGCGTCGTTGGTGGCTTTGAGGAGAAAGATGTCGTCGTCACATCCAAAAACTTATTGGTTGGACCTCAATAGGCACCAGGCTATTCATACAGCAAACCCAGCATGTACTCTTGAGAGCCGAGTGTATTGGAGCACACTACGTCTAAGCTGTCTGTCATACAGTGAAATGTGACATGACTGGCTGTCTCAAACTCAAATTGGTCGACTACGTCCAGTGCTCTTTTCTGATTCGAGTTTGAGGAATATTTGCCAAACTTAAAAATCAAACTCGAACGAAAATGATGATTTCAAAAGAGCTATGATCTGTGTGTTCCAATTCCACGTCACAACTGGAAAATGTTTGGAATTACCTTCTCGAACAACTTCTTCACCGTATCCACACTTACGGACTCCAAGCCTTCATGGTTCGTTCCACGATATTTCTCAACTGCAGACCCGACAGCTTTCTCCGAGAGCCGCAACTCACGTATTGTCGCCTTCAATGA